ATGAAAGACTAAATGTGCATTCAAACTGTTCATTCAGTTAAAACTCATGTTTTATCGATCGAATTCATGTTTTATGTTGTAACGAAAGAAGAAGACTTGCTCCATGTGGTCATCGGACATTCGGTTTCCACATGGCGTTAGTACATGTCCATTTCACTTCGCTAAATGATTTCTGTTAGCCTATTTCAAAGGTCCTTGCAGGAAAATAACCAAAACCCATAACGACAATGACTGAGCAAATTATTATTTTAAACAATAGGATAAAAATGACAAATTATATCCATGTTTTTCAAAATTACGTTTGATTATGTATAGAAAGCACATACTCTCTCCTGCTTTGTTCCCATACAGACGCACACACATACCCGCACAGAAGCGTGTTGTTAGCACTGCTCTGACGATTTTATCATATTAGTTTAGCAACTTAAAAAGCTCCATGACATTTCTCACTAGCAGGGTAATAATGGCGCTATTCTGAACTTAAAGAGTTTGGCTATTAGTAGAGATGCTTCTGCTGAACTCTGTCGAGAGATGCACAGAGTCACAGAGGTAATTCACACACACTTAATCTCTCTCTTTCTCTCTCTCTCACTGCATTAATAACTGCATTAGTCTGATGCTTCACGTCGTGGCTGCATCCCCACCTCGGATCATTATTTTCTAATTTAATGGCCCGTTGTCAATTATTCCTCACTAAAGTGAAATCATTGTAATCATGAAATTATTCCCATTTTTAACAAAACGTAACTGTAATCTGATTACTTTGTTTTTTGACCTAACTGTAATGAATTACAGTTACTATTTTTTACAAGCCCCGAATTGAGTTCGCTTTTGCGTCTTCTTACGCTTGAACAGAAAAATACACCTTGCCAATTTAAACATTAAAGCGATTATAAAGCATTCAAGTGCAAGATGATATGAAAGTACTCAATTCAGTACTCATGCGCTGTGTGTTGTTCTCTTCCCCTTGTATGTGGGAGAGACACATTTATTTGACATATTTTCTTTAAGTTACAGTTATCTCACCTAAATGTTTCCTCACTCTAACTTTTTGTTTTTACAATTTATATAATTATATGTTAATCAATATAATTATATTGTTAGGAAGATTTTAAAAATGCTTTAAACTAGTTAAACTAGTAGGCATCTGTTAAATATTGTACGCATTTCACTTAGCCATAAGTGATAATAACGTACAGTACCATTAGTGAATTCTGCTGGTAAGTGACCCATTCTGAGCTGCTGCCAGCCATCTCCTCCTTTAGGAACCTCAATGTTACAGGCCAACTCCAGGATAGAAACACCCAAACTAAGAGTGTAGAAAATAAAGACATCTCTTTATACAAATCACAATATAACTGATTCGGTTCTTACTTTTGGCATTTAAATATAACAAAGTATAATATTTACTAACCTAAAAATGTCTGCGGCAGTCCCATACTCCCCTCTCAATAGTTCAGGGGCCATATATCTGGGGTCTCCTTCCTGTAAATCAACCTCCTCTGTCTTCATTTCTCTCTTTCCCTCCATCACTTGTTTTCGGACATCTGTAGGAAGCTTGATCAACAAGCCAAAATCTCCAAGTTTGAGCCGTCCAGACTTTGTAATGAAAATATTCGCTGGTTTGATGTCCAGGTGGGCAAACCCATGAGCGTGCAAGTGGTCAAGTGCTGAAAGCATGTCACACAAGTACATCCAGGCACTTGTCTCACCTAGCACAACACACAAACTTTGAATCAGTAACATATATCTGCCTAGATCAATTTTTTCTTGTGTATTGTGCTGTTTACCAGTGTGAAATGGCGTTTCCTCAGCGTATAGCAGTAGGCTGGTACAGCAGAGTTCAGTCTGGATGTAGAGGTGACCGGCCTCCTCCCAAGCCGCAATGAAGCCCAGCACGTAAGGGTGTGGGTGCAGTCCCTCGTGATTCCAAGCCTCAGCAATGCTTCTTGCTCGTTCAACCTCACCACGGAAACGTTGCACTGAACGTTTGACAGCATACTGACAGCCATCCAAAAGACTCACCACCTGACAGACATGAAGGTCACAGTACCATTAGTGTATTCGTTGATAAATACATTTTGATATTACTTAATGTTGAAAAATCACTATTATCTGAAAATTCATCTATTTCATGTGTATCAGTTTCAGTGTACATCTGGAGTTCACATTTACTTAAATGGATCATGTCTAGTTAGCATTTTGAAAAATAAATACACTTACTTCCAATTTTGTGAAAAAATGCCCAGACATTTTGCCTGGACATTTGGCAGAAAAAGACGGTGGCTGATATGAATTCTCGCTGAAAATATAAAGGATGGTAGCTATTTCATATACAGCCTCAGATGGCATCTAGCATGTCTCACCTTGAAAACTTCACCAAAGGAACCTCGTCCAATCAGGCCCAGGTTGGTAAAGCACTGGTCGAAAAAGGTCTGGGGTCGGGATGGGTTGTACACAGAGTGAGGAGGGGGTGACTCTATAAGGGAGCGTGACAGGGGCGTCCACGGAGTGGGGCGGTGGTGGAACACTCGACTGAGTGGCGGGCATCCTTTAGATGGAGGCCGTGGTGGTAAAGAATGAGATAGTGGTCGCGGAGGAGACAGGGAGGAAGATGATGAGGAAGAGAAGGGACGTCTCCGTTTCTTTAGTGAAAAGGACTGCTGGGCATGAGAGAAATGGGTGGGTAAAGGGAGAGGGGTGCTGACTACTGAGGTCTGATGGGGAGCCGACATAGGAAATACACAGTCAGTTCTTCTAACGTTATTGCAGGCTCAACTAATTTTCAGAAGACATTTCAATTTAAGAAACTGTGAATGCTGGCTCGCTGATGCTCCACATCAATATGCACTAACCTATAACAAAACAAGATGGTGTGTTAATCATTATGGTATAAAATATATGAATAAAGAAGACACATTCAAAACAAAGTATACTTCCAGCATTGATAACAAAGTTAACTATATCATTAAAGTACCCTTATAAATATTGTGAAAGTAAAATGGTACTTTGATGATATCAGATGGTACTGTGATACTGAATAATGACCATTACCAAAACATGGCAATAGCATGGTATTTTTGTGAGCAAAAAATGATTTGAAAATGATTTGTCTTGATGCTAACCATAATGGATACAAAGTACATCGGAACATATAATGTGCTATATAAATGTCCAACACATTATTT